CTATATCGTTCTCTTGATGAATCAGGGCTTTTTGGTTGTTTTGTTAACCATAGAGTTTCATTTAATCCTGATCTGGCCAATTAGGATGTTAACATATTTTGTGATCTGTGACTCATGCCTATTGCACAAAGGAATTAAGTGAATAACCACAAAATCCGGGAAATAATAGACATATTTTATTTGGGTTTTGCAAATTAGAAATGAGATCATAACAGATCTATGAGATATCATGGGGATTGAGGAAGCGTTAACTTCATGGATTATAGCATTCTCTTGACATAGGAATAAACATAACGAGAACTTTCTATCAATATTGACAATTATCATATAAGGGAAAATATATGAGAACGATGAACCACCACATCACCTAAACGATATATGTGCGAGCCTCACATACCTTGAAGAACAGTAAGATTGATCTGACACTATTTTTTGTCTTTTCTAAACTCATTGCCTTTAATTTTCGCTTTTAAGTAGGATTGTAGATAACCACCTCTTATTTTTAATCACATTAAATTAGGTTTAGAAGTGTATTAAACTAATGATTTACTCTCCAGAATAATTCTTAACGCTCTTCTTGTGGGATCGATACACGACACTCTTTAATTACATTATTACTTGACAATTATACTTGTGTGATTCAACCAACTTGCATCATCACAAATTTTTAGCCTTCAAGGTTTTGGCATCATTACAAGGAAAAGATGTTAAAAAAAATTATGATGTTATGAGAATTGCAGTTGAGCAGCTGAGAATTTATGTTTAGCACTTTTTTTCTTTTTTTTTTGTTATTTTTTTCTTTGTTATTTCATTTATTGCACTTGTATTGTTGCTTGTGTTTTTTTGTAGGTGCTGAAAAATTAAAAAAATGAAAAAAACAAAAAAAAAGTTAAAAAGCCAAAATAAAATATTTCAACACTTCGGAATGACAACCCCTTAGGATAACCGATTGATGCCTTTTCAGAAGTATACCACTCCATTGATGCTTAGCTTTTACATGAATTTTGAACACCTGCCATAGGAACTGAACTTGATGAGCCATTGTAAACCAACAATTCTGAAGCAATCATTCACGACCTACATGTTCAACTACTTCCAAAGCTGTCAACTACGAGCTCTATGATAAATTAGAGATATAGCTACCATCTACAATATTCATGACATGCCACTACATTCATAATAATCGGCTAAGGCTTTTGTGGCCCATTACAGTTATTATTGTCAAGCTACCATTAAATATCAACATTGTAATTTCTATTCTCCAATTCAAGGGGAGAGTAGGTCTAAGTACATACAATTACATTGTAGATTATTTCAATTGGGCTAGTCGTCATAGCTTTTCCAATTTTCAAGATTTTCCATGTAAAAAATTGAGCTCTCCTACATCTCTTTTATATGTGTGTGTGATGGACCTTTTTCCAACGCTAAGACGCTAAATTATTATTCTCCGCAAACCTTCTAGTATGCCTCAATCCTATGTCCAAGCAAAAATCAAATCAACACAAAATTAGAAATTTAGAATGTAGTCACTATGAAGCCATACTACCAAAAGAGTATGTTGCCATATCAAGCCAATTGCTTCTGTTAATTATTAATATTGCAAATTAGTAATGGAGCAGCTCTTGTGACAACAAAATAATCTCTCGGCCATAGATATCCATAATATGCACATATCTAAATTCAAACTGCCCATATTAAAAGCCAGATGAGAATGTCATCAAGGAAAACAACTACAAAATCCTCTATGAATCATTTTATAATGTCATTCATGGAATACAAACATTGTTGGCGCTTTACAAAGATTGATTATCATCACCATTTCTCATAAAATCCCTATTTGATTTTGTCTTTGAGCCACCATGTATCTTATTCTTGTATGCAAAGTTGATGATAATGCGAAGAAAAAAAACTCAAGCTAGTTCCTTCCCGATGCAGATTATTCTGAATGTGAATGTAGAAATATACTTAAT